GATTCCTGGTTTCAGTCTGGATTCCCTTAGGCTGTTGTAGCCACTGGGATGTGAACCTGTAGTTGGAAGCTCTTGGCCTTTCAAATAATCTATCTCAAAAAATTATCCATCTATGTGTATATATATATATACACTGTATACATGTTCAATATCTAATTATTTGATTTTACTCACTAAATCCAATATATGGTAAATATAAATGTGATAAAATATAGAATATTAACAAATTAGCTACCCTGCTTGAAGATGTGTTACTATACAGTTTCAGTAATCTTATTGGCAAAAAAAAAAAAAAAAAAAAACTTTCAGGGTGGGCCTTTGGCACAGTGGTTAAGACCCAGTGGGACATGAGCATCCCATATCAGAATGGCTGAGTTAGAGTCCTCGACCAGCCTCTCATAGCAGCTTCCTGCTCATATGCACACGAGGAGGTGGCAGATGATGACCCAAATACTGGGATCCCTGCCAACAACATGCAAAATGTTCCTAAGTTACTGGCTTCAGCCAGGCCCACTCTTGGCTGCTGTGGGCATTAATATGGGAATCCATGAAGACTGCTTTGTTGGCAGGAATATAGCTAAACTCACTGGGTTCTGTAATAAAACCAAAGCTCTCTTATACCTAAAAAGTTATACTTTCATTCGAAGTACACATACAATTTAGTAATAATTATCTTTCCATGGGCATCAGTCAGTACTCCATAGTATAAATATTTGACTTTATAGAGTTTCAGATAAATAAAATGCATTAGTCAACTGTAACTGTCTTCAGTGTTAAACGCCTTTATATTCTATTTCAAACTCATGACTTGAATTCTTAGCGGTCAGAGTATTCTTTATAAGTAATTTTTAAGAGCACTGCTCCTTTCTTTCTAAAGAACCAGAAACGGGGAATAGGCATTGGGTCTGGAGATCACAACACTTGCCTCCCCTCATCAGAGTTCTTATGTCCCATGTATACCTCAGCTTCTGACTCCAGTTTCCTGCCACCACAACCTTAGGCAGTGGTGGTGATGGTTCAAGCAATAGGGTTCCTGCTACTCAAGAGGGAGCCCTGAATTGAGTTCCAAGGATCCCAGCTCAGCCTATCTCACCAGGCCATTGTGGGCATTTGGGGAGTGAACCACAAAGTAGGAGATCTGTTTCTATGTCTCAAAAATGTTTTGATTTGATGAACTGGGCAGTATCAGAATAGCATTTTTTTTTTATTTGACAGGTAGAGTTCTAGACTGTGTGTGAGAGAGAGAGAGAAACAGAAAGGTCTTCCCTCCCTTGGTCCACCCCCCAAATGGCTGCTATGGCCGTCGCTGCGGCGAGCCGAAGCCAGGAGCCAGGTGCCTCCCCCAGTCCCCCATGCAGGTGCAGGGCCCGAGCACTTGGGCCATCCTCCACTGCCCTTCTGGGCCACAGCAAAGAGCTGGACTGGAAGAGGAGCAACTGGGACAAAATCCGGCGCCCATATGGGATGCCAGCACCGCAAGGCGGAGGATTAACCAAGTGAGCCATGGCGCTGGCCCCTCAGAATAGTATTATTAAAAAAGATATAATTAATTTCAATATTGTAGAAAATAAAGTAGATTGGGATGAATATCTGCTGACCTCAGGATAAACTGATTCTATTCCCAAAAATGTAGAAAGGGGCTGGAAAAGCAGACAATTCAATAAATAGATCATTGTGATTCCTATCTAAAGGTATGCTTAAGTTGAAAGTATGCTAATAACTAAATAACAACCTGGTGTATGATACTTTAAATTGAGCTTGAAAGTTCAGCTCAAATATTTAGTCAGATATGGGTATAGTTTACAACTCAACTCATAAGTTATCCTCTCATCACATCTGTCATCTGTAAGTAGGTTTTGTGATTTGGTAGTATCCCCCAAATAGGAACATGATATCTGGGGCCCCTCTTTCTCTGCTTGTAAGCCTTAGGAGAAAAACTAAGATGTCCAGGACCAGGGTCATTACTGGCACTTTGGCAGGAGGGGACTGAGCGTTTTGATGACTGCAACATAGATTAAGTAAATATTCAGATTTAGTGTGCCTGAGTTATGTGCTACTTATGTCTAATATCATGACTCTTGTGAATGTTTTAGAATTGCCTTGTGCTCTAGGAGAAGCCGTACATTTGTCAGAAATGCTTTATATATTTTCCCTTTGCACTAAAGTGGTGGCAGGCAACCCTGCAGGTATTGACATTAATTTTCACTTAGTCACAAACAACAGCAATGTGGCACCATATCCAAGTGGAACCTGTGGGTTGCTGTGTATTCTTAATGCATGCCATCATAGACATAAGACTAAGAATGAAACTGATTAAAGTTATTCAGATCATATATTTGAATATATGCATATGAACATATGGAGTACTATAAAACATTCATGAAAAATGGAATTTAAAAAGTATTTTGGCACAAGAATTTAATAATTCATGTGGGTTTTTTCACAATATGCAGTTTCATGAACTTTCTGTGGACAGCCTTCATGCACAATCGAAGTTTAACTTTGGAATATGACCTTGGATTCATCACCCCTGCCCCAGTCACCTAGGTTTCAAAATCATTAAAATTTTACCTTAGATCATCCCTGGCAAATGTTTTTTTGGGCCAAGAACCAAATAAACATTGTGGGATCACAGGATCTCTGTGTTGACTATTCATCTTTGAACTTGATTGCCCGCATTCAGATGTATTCAATTTGTGAAGACAGCGAGTGCCTCAGTTCCAACAAAACCTTATTTGCAAAAACAGATGGGTGCTACACAAGAATTTGGCCTGAATGTCAGTTTTTTGACCACTGGGTTTGATTCTCAAAGTCACTTTCAGTTCTGGAGTTATGGTTTTGCCACATTATGGGGGTTTGTGGCTAATTCATTGTTCACGCGTGGTGGAACACAGGCCCTTTCTCCCCTCCACCCTCTCCTCTTCTCCTGAATCCAAAAGCCTGTCTCTGTACATGCAAATGGCCCATGAGAGTATTTTCCTAAACAAAGACATTTCCCTCAGTAGAGGGGTTCTGCTGCTACTGTAAAGCTAATAAGTGCACTACAGATGGTGCTTTCATTTCAAAAACAGCCACAACATAAGTGGAGATATGAGACTCCTGCCTTCATTGTTGCATTTGTTATTCTATGATTTGATGATTTTGTTTGGCATCAGTGCAAGTTACTACAGAAGCTTCTGCTGGAACTCTCTCGTCGTTGCTTTTGTATGGGTGGTAGTGGGCTTCTAACCAGCAAAAAGGACTCATCAGAAAACTCATCAAACTTACTCACTTGGGCACCTTCAGAAAATTTAGATTTAAGCCTAAATTCAAATAAGCATCCTCATATTATCAACTACCAGGTTTAGAGTATTTCCCAGCGTGATTACCATATCAGCCAACTATAGAAACCACACGTTAGATTGATAAGCAACCAAGGATTCTTTCTTTTCTAGTTCCTTTCTCACCAAACTTACATAAGAATCTCAAACCTGCAATCCGCAGGTACCATCTAGGTCCCCTGGTTGGCCTTATGTGGAAAAGCAAAAACTAAGAAATAACTGTTACCATTAAAAGGGTTTTTTATGTGCAAACCTGGATTTCTTACCTTTTTGGAAAATTGGATCCACGAAAGATCTAAGGCTTGTATTTTCACATGAGATCCATGGAAGGACCAGCTGCTCCTTTCTTTGCAGAGCTGGGAGCTGAGTGTAGACCATTTAGTTTCATAGCCACGATAGCCACAGCTTGCTGCCCTCTTGCCATTAAAAGCATTTCAGTTGGTGGCCTCTGCAGTACGCATGAGCCCTGGGGATCTTGCTAATTACAATTACTTCAAGTTCCAATTATTGGACTTTTTCCAGTCCTGTCTATCTACTTAATACATACTGCAGGATTCAAATACAAAATATAACTGTGAATGATCAGGGTATTTTTAGTTTATGTTAGTGGATGTCAGTTTTACAGCTTCCCTGTAAGGAAATGCCATTTAGAAATTTATGTCAAGACAAGGAAGAGATTTTTGTCTCTTGCATAATTTTATAATCTTTCTTTTTGTTCTGTCTAGTAGAAACTATAGAAATAAATTGGATAATATATCATATTTCTCCTACAACTTTGTATATTGCTTCTCATTATATTCTATTTTTATTAATATACATGACATTATAATCATTATTCATTCCAAAGATGAGAATTTTTATAGGTATACAAAATCATCTATGCATATCTTCTATTACTGATAAACTAAAGTAGTATGCTTTGCATGCTACTCATCAATCAGTGGAGATCCAGGCATTGAGTCTAATAGTATTTAGCATACTGTAATCTTTCAGAATATGCTAGGTGGTTTTCAGTAAAGGCAGCTCTTGATATTTGTCTTCAAGGAATGCTATAGGTCTCCAAACCATGGAATTGGATGGATAATTACTTTAAGCTCCTGTCCCTATGACCTGCTAATATGACCCCTGGCCTCAACTGGTTACACACTAGTAGCTCTGGGGCCATCCTCCATGGCAGCTGATGTCATGGCTGTAGTTCAAGGTTTCCCTTTGTTTCTTTGTAGATGACATATATCACCTTTGGATAATATCAGTGGTTCAAATAATACCCTGCAACTGTTTGGGTATCAGAGTTATTCTATGAAATATATAAAATCGATTATAAAATATCTTGAGTATATTTTATTTCATTTATGCTAGTTTCATGCTCCCTTTCTGATTATGCCCCAGCTGAATTGTATCCTATTAAAGTGAAAGTATTGAGTGTGCTCATGCATTCTATTAAAAGACATCCACACTTTTGCCCATGCATATTCCCAATAGTGACAGTTTTCTCAGTTCACTTGATATTGAAAAAAGAATATGTGGACCATGACGATGCAGGGGAGGTCTAGCCAGCTTGACCTTGCCACAAGGCTGACCTTTTCACCAGAGTGGATGAATTTCAGGAGAACGCACAGAAAGCACCGGAAAGATCTGGTTCCCTCCTGTAACTCTCTTTTCCTTCTTTTCTCTTACCAGGAACTTTTTACTCCTGAATGCAAGTTTAAAGAGTCTGTTTTTGAAAATTATTATGTAATCTACTCATCCATGCTGTACAGACAACAGGAATCTGGTAGAGCCTGGTTTTTGGGATTAAATAAGGAAGGGCAAGTTATGAAAGGGAACAGAGTAAAGAAAACCAAACCAGCAGCTCATTTTCTACCCAAGCCATTGGAAGGTGAGTCTTATTTATGCACTGCCTTTATCAGAAATATCACGTGCTTTGTTTTTACGTGGAAGACATTGCTAGCAAGTGTACCAGTGCCAGGGCTAAAGGGGAACTTCATGGAGTGCTGACAGTGTCCTTCATTCTGCTCTAAGTGGTAATCACACAGATGTCTATGTAAGTTGTTTACAGAAGATTTGTCCCTTGTATACTACGCTGTGTGTGTGCGCATGTGCACGCACTCAGGAAAAGCATCTCTTCTAACTTGTTGTGTCTCAAATCCTCACGGCCCCAATTATTCTCCTAGATAATTATAAAATTGAATCTGTTATGATATAAATCTATGAAAACAAGTATATTAGAAAAAATCAGTTCCTACTGTAGGAAGAAAGGTGTTTGCTCATTTTCATGTTCATGAAATAAAAGTAGCTGTATGAAAAGGTATTGCAAAAAAAGGCATGGAAAATGGAATTAGAAGAAAGTGGGCTGGTGCCACGGCTCACTAGGCTAATCCTCCACCTGCGGCACCGGCACACCAGGTTCTAGTCCCGGTCGGGGCGCCGGATTCTGTCCCAGTTGCCCCTCTTCCAGGCCAGCTCTCTGCTGTGGCCTGGGAGTGCAGTGGAGGGTAGCCCAAGTGCTTGGGCCCTGCACCCCATGGGAGACCAGGAGAAGCACCTGGCTCCTGCCATCGGATCAGCACAGTGCGCCGGCCACAGCGGCCATTGGAGGGTGAACCAACGGCAAAGGAAGACCTTTCTCTCTGTCTCTCTCTCTCACTGTCCACTCTGCCTGTCAAAAAAAAAAAAGTGAATTTTGATGTAAACAATTTTGAAATCCATGCATAAGTTCTTTCATAATGCATATTTCTATGACTTTTTTGAAGACCCCCTGTATTTGTGAATTAAAATCACAGAAAATGAGCAGGTAATAATCAGACCCTTAGGGAACTTGCTCTATTTTTCTGTCAACTACATGTGTTCATCATACGGTTGTGATACTACCTTCTGTAACTAAAACAATCTATCTGCATTCACCTGTGGAGAATGCAGCCCTCACATTGACATTGCTCAGATTTGCAAAGAGCAGACCAGAGTTTTGCTCATTAATTGGCAACAACTGCACCTTTCACATTAATGATTCTGATGGACGCATCGTTCTCTTTTATCTACATAACATGTATTTGAGAACTACAAAAACAATTGATTTTGAAACTAAATGTTCAGAAAGTAAAACAAAAGTAATTGGATAGGTAATACTTTTGGAGATCAGAATTACATTAAGTGAACAAATACTTTAGACCATTTGATTTTCTTTGTTAGTTCTACAGGAAACAGCCATCAAGAGAGGAAGCGTATTTGTTTTTAAGATTTATTATTTGAAAGGTAGAGTTACAGAGACAGGGAGAGACAAAGAGAGACAGAGGGAGAGAGAGAAATCTTCCATCGGCTGGTCCACTCCTCGAACGACTACAATGGCCAGGGCTGGGCCTGGCTGAAGCTAGGAGCCAGAAGCTTCATCTGGGTCTTCCACATGAGTGCAGGGGACCAAGTACTTGGGCCATCCTCCTCTGCTTTCCTGGTCGCAGTAGTAGGGAGCTGGTTTGGAAGTGGAGCAGCTGCTGCTGGAACCAGTGCCTATTTGGGATGCCAGCATCACAGGCAGCAGCTTAACCCACTGTGCCACAATGCCGGCCTGCATATTGGTTTTATAATCCATATTATCCCTAAAAGATAACCTGAAATTTTGAATTATCCATTCACTTATCTGTGGTTTTCCTAAATTTGCAAAGCCATTCTTGTTAATAACACCCTTATAATTTCAATAATGTTGACTTACTATTCCTGTAAATAAATTTTCCTCTAAAGACTTAATTGAATCCCAAATTAGCTATCAGAGACTTTCTAGGGAATGAAAATTTATTCTAGAATCTGATATAGGAATTATTACATGTTAGATAATAAAGAAAATCAAAGAGAAACCAGAGTGTTTCTTTGTTGTTCCCAAATATAATATCCTTAACATGGCTTTATTATTTTAAGTGAATTTGATAGCATCTTATTTCCCAATATTCAAATGAAAAAAATCAACTGAGTTCATACCAGTTCTACAAAGATCTTGGTCCATTTGCCTTGCTGTGTTTCTTTTCACTGATTGTATGTTTTGAATACTGACGAGTATTAACAAAATTTCTAAAATGTTACCTTTTGGTTGCACAAGTCTAATGGAAACCAAAGGACATCTAAGTCTTTTAACCCAGTTAAATTTAGAAACCAGTTATCTTGTATATTCCATGGGAAGTATCCAAGCTTCTACTGGTATGACATAATAATAATAATTTAGAATTCCAATTCTATAGTGGAACTACTAGGTATGTATGTGTGCAGGAGAGAGAGAGGCAGTATTTGTCATATTGCTTTCAAATAATTAGCAGCCAGAAATACTTTAAGACCAAGTAAGGAAGTAGGTGGTTTACTTGATAGAGGAAAACTCACTTCAAACTACCAGAACCCCTACAGGTTATAAATCATTCCAGTGGCAACATTAGGACGGTCGAGGTGCTTGATTAATTATTGATACTCTAGAACATTCATTTCTTCTTCTTGCTTTACTCACAGAGAACCAAGGTCACTGCTGTGATGGTGTTGTCTAGAAATTTCATTAGTAGTGGCAGCGAGAGATTGGAACATGCAGCAAGGGTATATATTAGCTCCCTTTACACCTTGCCCAGTCCTGATACACTTTTTTAATTTCCAAAAGCATGTGTGCTGCTGAAAAAAAATCAAGCCACATTCTACCACGGTGCTCACATAGGATACGCAGTAAACAAAAGGGCACTTCACACAATTCCTTACACTTTCAACAAACCTAAAAGCATCTCGAATAAGCATTTCTGGTGGCAGATGACTTGAACTCAATTGCTGTTCCCCAAGGATCACTCTGAAGTGTCCTTTTCCAGGACTTCCCCAAATCATGTTCTAAAAAGCCTCCTGAGCTGCTGTCATGATGTCACCAGACGGTGTGCAGACGATGTCTCAGACTCGGCCTGAGCCGCCGTCTCGGTAGCCCGTGTGACATCAACTATCACATTGTTAACCATGGATCAGGAAAGGAGGTGCAAGGACCCGAAGCCACCTGCTGCTGCCTTCAGTGTTTAAGAGCCTCTTCCCATGATGACAGGGAGAAGACGGAAATGATGTGGTCCAGCAGGCCCTGGCTGGAAGGATTTTGCTTGTGTGGCACTTTGACCTTGACGGTAGTGACTGTGTTGCTTTTGAACCACTTAAGAGAAAAGTAATGACATCAGGTGTAAAATACCTTGGCGCAGAAAGTTGAATCGAAATGCATTCAAGTGTTGCTCTCAGTATGCAGTGGAGGGCAAGTCTTAGCGCCCCTTCTGTCCAAAGTGCATCAGTGTCTCCTAGATGAAAATCTAGCTGCCCTCATTGAGGTATGGAAAACAGTGGCTGTGAAGGAAGCCGGCACCACTGGGTCTGTGGACTCAAAATCCCTGCCTTGTGCCAGGTGTCCTCTGGGCATGGGATTGGGTGAGTTCAGAGGACTGGGGTGTGCGAGTGTGTGGGTGGGTTGCTCTTGCACCTAACCAGGCCATGTCTCCTTCTCCTCCCGTCCCCAGTGGCCATGTACCGAGAACCATCTTTGCACGATGTGGGGGAGACGGTCCCGAAGGCTGGGGTGACGCCGAGTAAAAGCACAAGTGCGTCTGCGATTATGAACGGAGGCAAACCAGTCAACAAGAGCAAGACCACATAGCCAGACCCTCAGGGGCATTGTGACTTACCAGTCCCGAGCACAGTCGCGTGATTTATCCCTACCGGACATTCCTGCTCCCGGGGCTGAGGGCGGCGGGGACGCAAGCCAGTGCTGCTTGCTCTTGGCTGGCTCCGAACTTCGTCACAAGTGGTTCAAACGCAAGCTGTGGCACCCCCACGACAAGAAGACACCTGGATAACCAGCTCAACTCAGACCATGGAATGCCCTACCAGATATGGAATGCCTTTTTAATATCTTTTCTGTGACTGTGACACTTCATGTGAATGACATATTTCACACGTACACTCGATACCTTGCCTGCTGACAGCTCCCCATTACCCTTTTTGAGTCCTGTTCCAGCGAAATCCATGTGTTTCAGTTCGATTTTGTAGCACCCCACTACTATTGAGTAATTTCTAGTTAGACGCTGTAAACCTGTGCTCTCATGGATTTCTCCTCTTCTCGTTTTTACAGGGCTGCTCGCGCCACTGTCTGTGACCTTTTGCAGGGAGTGTGTTCCTCTGAATCGGCAATGTTGCGGGTGGCTTAGTCCGGAGGGCAATCAGGGAATCAGAACGCCTTCTACCTTAGTATTACAAATTGCATCTATCCAGATTAAGATCGTTGTCTCGGGCTCACACTATTGATCCCACACACATACACGCTCTATCCAGTAGCAGACACTGCGCGGCCGAGGTCCCCAAGGCCTGGGCAGCAGAAAGGTCGAACACAACCCGTGGCAAGCTCTCCACGACCCGTGTTGGACGGCCCCTCTTAGTTTCTTTGTGTGTGTGTGTGTGGTGTGTGCGCGCGTGTGTGTGCGTGTGTGTGTTTTATACATATCACAAGCTTACTGGTAATGGTAACATTTGCCTTGCCCAGCGAGCAAGACCCACTGGTTTTTGAGAAAGTGGGTCCAAAGAATTCTGTAGGCCTTGTAGGCCTGATTAAGGTTCATTTTTCATCTATTAGTCTTCATTATTTGGGAAAAAAAAAAAAAAGGAAAACAAAATCATGACGACCTACGAGAATTGCGCTACCTAAATCCATTTCAGATCTACTCCCTCCTGTTTTTAACGAACCTAACGCCATCCCCGATGTGGCTGCGTCCCACTCATAGTCAGCCGAGCATGGGCAAGGCGGCTGTCTTTTCTGCAGCAACAATGCAAACGTTAGTTATCAATTAGACTTTAATATTTTTGGTGTTTAATGACAAGTTTTTAAACTGGACATATTAGGAAAAAATATTTTTTTTAGTTCAGCATGCTGAGTCCGGTACTGTGGACCTCACCAGTACGTACCTGTAACTCAGCTCTGTGGGCCCCGGATTACCCAATGGCTGGGTTCGCGGTGCCTTGCCATGATCTCAGAATGCGGTCTGTTGAGGGATCCAAGAGAAAAACAAAGGCAAGCAGACACCCTCAAAGATCAGGTTTCGGGTCCGTCTGGTGTATTTGCTTTGGTTTTAGTTTGCTCTCTTCATTTCCTTTTGAATTGAATACTGCAAAATTCTGAGCTTAGGGAAGGCAACGTCTAGGAAAGACTGAAGACTTGACTACTCGGCGAAAATTCCATGCAAAATGTTCCATACTGACTAGAAAGTTTCAAAATGTTTAATACTAAACTATTTGCAAATACATTTGTTAACTCGGTGTACACTTAATAAAATTCAATGTTTTCTTTCCAGAAGAGTCAATTGAGACCAAACTGAACCTCATTCACAAAATACAGTTTATGGGAGCAGTGGACTGGCCTCTCAGTACGTGTGGAAGAATGATCCAGTTGCTGTGTTCCCCCATCTGCACTGTCTTTGTTGGGAAATTACTTTCTCACTGCTTTCATAAAACTCCACTACAGTCCTTGCCCAGCATTGAAAATTTTGGCCTGCTTAGCTGATTTACAATTGAGTATCAACTGATATGTTTATGCTTATTTCATTTTCATATTGGATTCCATTTTCATAAATAAAAAAGTTAACATAATGTTTGAGGATATTTGTTGTTGATAATGCTAAATTATGAATACAATAAACTGAGTCTTTTAACCATTCTCGATTTGAATGTTAGGCCATTTCAAAGCCTATTGTTTTCAACAGAGTAAGTTAGAGGAATTCCATAAACAAATTACTTAAGGAAGAAATATATCCCATAATATGTGGCAAACTTTTAATAATGTAATTCCAATTAGGTGGGCTTACACCTGGCTTATACCACTACACACACACACACACCCCAAACAACACACCCATTTCTTCTTGGTAATCCTTCCTACTTGCTGGTATCTTTTTCCCTTGCAAGCCTGTTTATTGGTTAAAATTAAGACAAGATTTATTTTTGTAAATGACTTAGTTATGTAAATGTGCATCTCCGTTTTGTGGTCTATTTGGGTTGTCTATGAGGGCATTTATCACTATGAATGGATGTCAAAAATACTTTCTCCTAATCTATGTCTAGACATGTTGGAGAGGAGTCCTTGTTGTCTGTAATTTAGTTAGCTCATTTCCTTTGTGTCTGGTCTTATGTGTTGCACGGAAAGAGGGCAGCACTGATGAACTGCATGTGGTAGGACATGTGTATCAAGAACTGTTGGTATGTATTACGCAATTTACGTACGAAGAGTTTGTCTGCATTGTACAGTTTGTTTAATATCATTTGTTGTATTCACAAATACAACATATTGAATAAAATATTTATATGAAGGCATATTAAAAAATCAAGTTTATGTAACAAAATGGCATTGCATCACCCACAAATACAGAAAATGTCCTGTAAATAAGTTGGTACACTTAATTTCCCCTTTTACATGCCAAAGAAATTGTTAGCTCTTTGATAATACCTCTCTTGCAAGTCTTCTGGGGTAAGACATTTTTCCCCCTTTAAAAATTAAGTTGCTATTATTAAGTGCAATCTGTCACTTGTGGATGTTCTATATAGTAAATCTGATGGAATTCATTTGTATTTCAAGATGGTGTGTTTCATACCTCCATGTACATATGTCCATTGTATCAGAGCTATATACTGGCCATTCCTTCTGCATGCATATCTGGTGTGGGAGGGTTATGTCTGACTTGTTACAGTAGCTAACTGCTTTGCCCATCTCTCAGTGATGCCCAGAAATGTTCACTGTTTGGATATTTCAAGTGACATCATTTTTGTTTTCTAGTAAGTTTACTTTTCTAAAATGTTTTGTTACCACTTTACTTGGCATAATTATAGATACATACAAATTGCCCATCCTGTGTAAAGAGGAAAATGAAACTGAGCATCCTTCTTTGCAAATCCTAGAGATTTTAGATATTCTTGGTCTAAATGTGTTCTTGTCCTGAGTGTTTTGGGGTAGGGATAACTTAAAGGGATCTACAGTGGGTCCATTTCATGAACCCCTGCTTGTTTTTCTAATTGTTTTTCTCTTGGAGAATGAACAGAGTTTCTTTATCGTACCTGGCCAACAGCTTAATTAATGGTTAAAGCACTTGCTGTCTTTTCAAAATGACCAATATTATACTCAGTTTTCTTAAAGAAAAAGGTCTTTTAAGTTAGATACATCACTTCATTTGACATCATCTCCCTAATATTGCAGGGGTAATATTTGTTACATGTCCAAGAAATAGAGACCAGATTACTACTGAGTTCAGAAGCAGGTGAATATAATTTTCAATTATCTCAATTACTAAAAATGATTTTCAAAAATGATTTCATAACAAGGGAATGTATAGGAAAAGCAATTGAGCTAAATGGTCAATTATTTTCCCAAATGCAAGCTTATCAAAATCCAGAATGTAAATAGTTACATTTTATAGCTTAGATTTCTTAGTTTACAAGGTGACTCATTGGGCCTGTTGAATACTGACTAGGGTTTCAACATTTTCACAGTGAGTCTGCACCTTAATGCTGAGTTGTAGTTTGGGTTTATAAAATTTATTTTTGGTTTCCTTTGTTCTGATTTGATGTTTACTGACAGAGATTGTTTGTATCTGAGGTGTGCTACTGGGATCTAAATGAGCTCAAGGGAGCCCAAAAACGCAATGCTATAAAGAGCCTCCTCTTGTACCTACGACTCTGGCAGTTTTGGAAAAGTCCCTGTGGAGGAATCCTTGGGTGGTGATTTGCCAAACAAGCAGGATCACTGCCTATACCACCTTTAAACTTGTTGCATCCTTTCCAAATTACATTAATTCCACCGTAAATCCCTAAAAACCATCAACAAGCCAGTGAATTTGCCTGCTGATTTTCTCCCACACATTTCAAGTCCATTCTTGCCTTGTCATTTTTTAGAGAGTCTTTTAGAAAAGAGCAAAAGTCAAACTACAGAATTACAGTTACAAAGGGCAGAATTTGTCTTTACATGTAAGTGTTTATACAGGTTAGATTGAAAAGAAATAAATTCAATCATTTTATGTGTGTGTGTGTGTGTGTGTATACACAGACCTATATATATGTTTTCCTTGCTCAAATAAAAACCATTCATACACTAATACCCATACTATTCATACACACACAAAACAGAATTAAAAAAAAATTGTTTTCAAAGAAAAGCAGTTAAAATGTAGGTACCATGTGACTTAGGCAATAATCTAGTTTTGGTTTTATACCTAAACCTCAGACTATAGCCAAGTGACATTTTTATTTTTGTCCAAAACTTTGGACACATCATTTTGAACATTATGATTTAATGACTTCTTCACTATCTAAACTCTTTTACTTAGGAAACAGAACTGATGAGAACAGACTCAACTTTTTATCTGTGAAAACATGAGTGGAGCAGCATTTCTGATAAAGTTGTTAATAAAAATGGATAACAACACAAAGACATTAAAATAAAAATAAAACACACCTGAGGATGTGTGGTGAGCTATGAGGGCTTAAGTTCAGTCCCAGGGGGGCACACGTTGCCAAACCATTGCTGAGCTGTGGGCCAAATCCAGCCTCAATCTGTGTGTGTTTGGCCTGGGAACACAGAATGAACTTTCATTGTTCTACAGTTCTAAAGTATGAAGCATAATAAAGAGGATTATGCAGCACGGATTCCTGCAGCCCATAAAACCTAAAGGATTTTCTGTCTGCTCCTTTGTGGGAGATGACCTGTCATAAGGAATCTGGAAGTCTTTCATATTGTTGGCAAGATAATGTGATAGATTTCAGTGTTCTCAAATGAGTCATCAAAATGGCTATGGGACAATTATAATAGGTTTGTATGAAGCTTAAATACAGGTTGGGGCTACCCATATTTCCCTAATTTTACAAACCCAATACTGATTGACATACCCAATAATAGAGATACCAATATGATTGCACTCCTTAATCTCAGGAGAAAGCAATTTTATAAATCTATTGTTATGAGAACATTAGCACTAGAAAATTAGCATCAGTTAGCTTTTCTCAAGATAATTTTCAATATTAAATTTTTAACTATTACAACAGATGCATATTATCTTTATTTTTCATGATTTGACTTACAAAATCCAGGCTATGATTCTAGAATATTTACATCATCAAAATAAAGTTTCCAAATAATTTTCATCTTAATATGGAAATAATTTTGTTACATTATTCCAGGATTTTATAAAATAATTCACATATAGGAAAAACGTGGTTTTCTTAAAGCTCTGAATAATTATTTGTTACCTAAACTAGTGTAAGTAGTTTAATTGTAAATATGTACAGGAAGCCCCAATTATTGTACATTTTCATAGTTCAATGTAGATTTCATACAGAGTTTCACCATTAAGAAAATAAACATTTTGTTCCTACCATGAAGTGAATATTCATAATTTCTATTTAGGCCATTTCTAGAATTTTTTGGTAGTTTTTCTGAGCTTTTTAATTGGTGCCATTTATCATATTAATTTCTTTGTGAAACTCTACTTTCCTAGTAAGTATCCTTAGGAAAAAGTGTTTAAGGGAAACAAATCATTATTTCAGGCCATTATACTGAACTAGATTACGTTGTTTTAAAAGGCTATCTTACCTGGAAATAATTTAAATATTGACAAATCAAATGTCTTGTACATGCAACCCTGGCCCAATTTTTAAAAATGGCATCCCTTAGTTCTAGGAATTGAAAATTAATATCCCTGAATTGCAGTTCATTTGTGTGTGTGTGTTCATTATCAATAGGCAAATATATGTTGACACAAAATACAAACATGCCACTATTTATTTTAAAATGCTAAATTGTACATTTTTCATAATGTTTTCCTTTATTTTGAGAGAATTTTGCTTTTGTGAGTTTAAAGTGAGACTGCACAAATGACCTAATGGCTGAAAAGCTCTGGTCTTCCCTCTTCCATAGAATTCCTGCTGGTCCCCCAACCCACCATTGTACCTCACGTGTGTTTCTCTTCATGTCCTCACGTGGAAATGCTGAATGATATGGAATCCTGCAAAAACTAATCAATGGGCTTGTGCAAGAATATACTTCTCAACAGAATCCAATGCCATCTTTTTTAGGCACATGGGTTTTTAAAGACCACATCATTCAGCGTTTCTCAACTCCGGCGCTATTGACTTTCATAGTCAGATGTTTCTCTGTCATGTGGGGGCTGTCCTGTACTCTGGGGGCTGCTGGGCCACCCCTGGCCTCTACCTACTAAATGTAAGCAGTACACCCTCCCACCCCACCCAGTGTGACAGTCAAAATTGTCTATAGACATTGCCAAATGTCTTCTGGGTGGCAAAGTCACCCACGTTGAGAACTACTGATGTTATTTGAAGAGAAAACCTTATTTCTATGATTTATATCAGAATTTGCTTAGCTCACTTCTAATAGGTACCCAGATTTCAGTCAAGAATTCAGAAATAGAAAAACATACAATAGTCTGTTTAATCTGCCCTACTGGTGATTATACATGGTTTTCTTTGCATTTATATGTTCTAATGGCCTAGAAAAATAAGAATCCAGAGTGTTCTCCAATGCAACTGTTAAGGATATTCTGTGCCAAGCCAGATTTCACATGCATTTCCATTCCATCCGTCCCAGCATTCACAGTTTCCACAGTTACAAATTCCATTCCCTGCAATAAAACACACATGGGAATCACTGCCATGACCAAAATGCACCAGAGTAAACTATGCCACGAGAAACCATCACTGTCCATAATAAAACCATTTCGTTCATCCTCTTCTGGTGTTTTGACAGTGATCTTATTACATAATATTTAACTGGGAGCAAACTTAGAAGCAATTAGTGACATCTACTCGGTGTTGCCATCCATGTATCAGAACAGCCACCCAGTCTATGCCAGCTGGCCTACCATGTCACAGTTGTATATCCCCCAGACAGCACGTTACCTCTGACTGATGAATAAATACTTAAAAACAAAGCACCTTGCATAATGAGGAGAGCCAAGCAATCAGCTAGAAGAGGAGTCTTGTTATAGGGATGGGCAGAAAGTGAAAGTCTAACTTGATGACACATGCAAATGTACAACTTAAACCTTCAGCTAGCGATGATGAAAGCAAATATACAGCTCCCCACTTCCCCAGTAACTTCAGGAAATGCATTTCATAGAAAGTTATTGGGACTCAAGACATTAGTTATTGGGACTCAAGCAATGTGTATTCTACTGAGTCCTTCTCATATGTGAACTCCCCCTACATATACACAGCCAGCTCCCCCAAAACCACCACATCAACTAGTGGTACTCTGGATCGCCTTTTAAAATCACCTCCCAGCTCCTAAACTATGCTCAAGGTTTTTTTGATATAGACTCACATAGGTGTGATTGGGGAGCTTATGGTTACTTTGTGGAGGTTTCTCCTCAATCAAATAATCTGGCTTCACTTTCTGTATTTTCCATCCCTGGGGATACTGTTGGTGCTTGTCTCCACTTCCCCATTTAGAGCTGCTGCATTTTAACAGGTGGCCCTCGAGCTCACCAAAGCTGTCCTGTCTGGCACTGTGGGATGGGTATCACCCAGCTTTATTGCAGACCGTGGCACCCAGCAATGGAGGCCAATACTGCACCTGTACAGATGAGTCCTTCATGCTTGTCGCAGTCTCTGTCATCACAGTCACAGAATTCCCCCGAAATGTACCATTCTTCTGCAGAACAAATGCACTTTCCACAGTGACAAGAACCTGAAATCACAGGAGATATTACTTGCTATCACCCTCTAACTACAGGCTTCCATTGAGGAAAGGATATCTTTGGCATGCTAACAATGGGCTTCTAATAACCCACCTTTATTGAACAGCTCATTTCTCAGAGGGAAGCTTTATTTACTGTAATTCATAAAGGTCATCCAGGAAAGCCTTCGTTACAGATCTAGAAAGTTGCAATTAGCCTTGAGCAAATGTTCCATGGCCCAGTCTGATTGAAATGTCAGTGAGTACAGAATATGGCTGATTCTTATAGATGGCTTCCAAAAGTGTGGTCAAAATTGGTGGGGTTCTTGTTATCATTTTTCTGAATTAAATCATGCTTTTAAAGTGCCCATTCTTAAATGAATTTAACAGTAAATTCTATTACGTGAAGATTCATTTTATAATTCAAATAGCTACTAAATAAATGTGCTTCTAATTTTGGATTTTAGGTCACATTATTTTTCCTGAAGTAGGGACACATCTGCATGCTGTGTGGTAATTAAAGTGCTAAAAGTATACATGCAATCACTCATGTGTATTTGACCTCTGAATTGCCTGTCATAATCAATGATAGCTTTAATTCCTCCATCCCCCCCCCCAAATAATGTTCATTCTTCGTAAGGCTCTGCATTCTAACACACTTTCCACTATATCACCCATTTTCTCTCTTTAAATCTTAATTTTTTAAAAAATAGACCTTCCTCTTTAGTTATTAGAAATATTTTGGCTACTGAGTATTTCTCCAATAGTATATAGAAATTTAAAGAAAATATATGAATTAAAAGATACCCTGAAAAAATGAAGTTCTCTCAGTACAAATATATGACAGGTTAAAAAATTCTCATGGTAAAATTGCTTCTAACACAGCAAGAAAAACAACTTTAAAATGAAAAGAAGAAACTTCCCTTCCTTTTTTTCTTTTGGTTGATTTTTTTCCCCCAAATGTGATTTCCATTTACTAAAAGATGGTTGTAGTTAAACTTTTCAGGTCAAAGATCACCTTGATAGAAGAGCAAAGGCCAGACTTGATATAAATTCCAAACACATTAGCAGGGCAGGAGTCAATTAGTTCCTCTACTGAAACACAGTGAATGAAAAATGAACAATCTGGGCAAACTGATTAGTAAGCGAAGTCAACGTGCTGCGTGTTGAGAAAGGACACTGAGCACTAGCTATTATGTCATATCATGGACAACGCACATGCATTTTCCTTGCAAGAATGACCAATGGCCAAATTAAACTTTTGTCATGCCTTGTAACACTGCCCAACCTGAGAGAATAGTCAGACCTAATTATAGTATAAGAATTGTTGATGTTTATTTTCAGCTCTGGCTGAGGTGCAGCATACTTTCCTTAGTCTTGAGTTGTTTTCCTGAGGGCCTAGACTGATGTGTATACTCATGAACAAAAATGCAGACATCTTGCAGTTCTGCAGGCAGCCTGGAGCTTGCTCACAAGCCAGGGCACCGGTGCCCCAGAGCCAGTCTGCACAGGACTGTGGTTTCCTTTGGGTCTCATTCAGCTATAACATTTCTTAGTTTACAAATGTACCCCATTATTAAATGTCATATGTATACTTCAGCATTCAACCACTCATTTAACAAATGATTAGAGATTTATCTGCCAACAAAGAAAACATGGGGCATTTCATTGACCGTCAGAGAAATTTCCTCACTGGGTACCTGATTGTTTTATTTCGATGAGAGGAGGATGATTATTTCAAGCATTTGACTTTAGTTGTTTCTAAAAGAGTATTTCCTTTACATTTAAAACTATAGCCACGAGAGGAGTAAAGGATTTTATATGTCCATGACACTCATGTGTTACACATAGGATATCATTTTGTATGTCAAAATTCATAGATTTCACATTTCATCTTTAAATTTGTTCCCTGGCCATGAAACGGTTCTTGCTTCTAGAATGCTTAGCTTCAGGCAATAGCAAAGTTATTTGTCTAAAACTGGTGAGCTCAGCTGAAGTTAATATGGTATGTGATAGAGCATTTGGTGAATAAACTCCAGGTTCCTAAGTCTACTAGTTAGTCACTGAACTATTGAGAATAAAAAAATGGGAATTGATTTTGTATGTGTCACGAAACAGTAGCTTTTCCCAGTCAGCATTTCCCCAGCTGTGTTCTTTCCTGTTTGTCAAAGCTCAATGCATCTTAGAGGTAGGAAATTCTACTGCTTGTGAAACTAGGAGTAGCATAGCATGTAACAATAACACAGTGTGAATAGATATTAGGACCTATTATAGCATCTTTCTTGTGGAGCACTATGGCTGTGTTCATCAATAACCAATCGCAAGAGTCAAACTGTCCCTTTCTGGAAAGGGAAAAACTTAGGGAGAAGATTCTATTAGATAGAAGTAGATTTCATGACTACCAAGAGGTGACCAATCATTCAAGTCAGCTGGCTGGGACCCACTTACACCCAAGACCCAGCTCAGTGAAAGGGAGCAGCTGGCCCATTTTGGCAGGAGCTCTAAGACAATGCATTCATAACCACATCATCACTAATCTGTTTATTTTCTTTCTCAATATAATGACCCCTAAAAATGTTCCTGTCTCCCATCTGTGCTTTTTACTGGCATCTATCCCTGGAAAATCAGCCACATTTTCTCATGTGTCTTTAAAACACTCCTAGGGCTCACAGAGAGAAAAGAAATAAAATCGGCCTGCCTTCAAAGATGAGAATCAAAGTTCAGGGAGGAGAAGGGAATTATCTGGGACTACATGGGCATTAAACATGGCTAACTTGAGATTTCAGTCTGAATCAATGCAACCTTCTAACAAATTATGATGACTTTCACAGCCAAAACTTCTATATTGTTTCAAACATGAGCCATCAGTTCTTGCAGATCAGACTGGACAGCCATATCGGGTGAAGAAATTCTGACGTTGGGCTAAGGTCGGGGTTGAGAAACCTCTTTTACTCTTTTCCAGGGCTGTGGATAGGGAAGTGGATGGGTGAGAGACAGGTGGGTGGTCGAGTATACTCTGGGTTATCTGGATGATGCGGGACTCAACAAGTGTCATCATGAGGGTTTGAGGAGACATTCAATGGCATCTGTAAGAAAATCAGATGTGTTTGCCTGGATCTAGGTCAAAGTTATCAAGGTAAAAAGTGTTACTGGGTAGTCATGGATCCAAATAAACAAATCCCCAAAGAAACCAACAAAAGCCCCATGAAATAACATCATGTATTATGATATTAATAGCCATTGCAAAGGTAGCTAAATGCGGGGAGACCTGGCCACTAAGCTCATCTCTTGGTTATTCACACGAGCAACTTTGTTAGTTGCCCCGTTCCATTCATAATGTTGGACTTTCTTTCTCATCCTTCATCAAGCCTGACAAAATGCTGCAACCACCATCCCAGCAGGCAGCTTTCACTACTGTACTAATGACTCCATCAGTTACGAAGGTCACAACAATGTATCTTGTTTTAAATTTTTCTATGGAGTGATTTATTGTCTTGGCTATAAATTTGTAAAGAAATAAAACGCTATTTCTTCATCGTCTCCTGGGGTGACGGCTTTATTCGCAGCTCAGGGCCAGTCTGAATTTAGACTTGCTGTGCTGGTGGGAACGGGCTGCTCAGTGGAATGCCACTGCCCTCGCATGTCCTCTGCTCATCCTTGTCACACAGATAGAGGAAGAAGGACCCTGGATATTCTGTAATCATCAGGGTGCAAGATTTTCATTGACAAACTTGAGGAGAATCACACGCAATTCAGACAAGTCCATGAGATTTGTCAAGAAATACATGGCCTCTGTCAAATGATGAGTGATAGGATTTTCTTTTCTCTACCACATTGAAGTGTCTTACTCTGTTTCATGTGTTATTTTTCCTGAGGTTTTTAGGGTTGGGGTGCTCCTCCCCATGGGGATCAGAAATAACTGCTGCACCCCCTTGTCCTCTGTGCCTGCAACAGGTCCAGCTCCATGAGCTCAGTGTGAGGTCCCCTCTCCCTCAACAGTCTAGTACTTAGATCTTCAGAATGGGAGGCAAGAAAAGAGCCCACAACCATCTCCTACTGACAATGGGAATAACCAATGCTGATCCAAACATCAAACGTGCAGCCTGGGGGCAGCTTTTGCATTTTTTTTTTTTTTTTTGAGTTTAAAGACTAAAACTCTCTACACACTGAAGGATAAATACATAGATTACACAAATATGCTTTCAATCCTTCATTGATCTCTGAATATATCTCTACCAACCAAAGCAAATACATTGTACAGATATTAACTACAGAGGGTAGATTGGAGGTGAGGGCTTTCTTTTGTTCTCAGGAAATGCCTTTGGGTCAATGCTTAGACAGTCTAATCTTTTTGCATTTTCTACTTTTATAATACTGAGAGATGAGAATCTTCCCTTAGACTTAGTGACTTTACAAAAGTGTTTCTTTCTTGTAAAGAAACAACTCTTTTTGCATGAAGTACAGTTTAGGAAATGGCATATTACTTTTCACTACATTGGGGAGTTTGCCTGTGTAGTCTTCATGTACTTTTAATTAAACAAGGCTTAGCAAAGATCTACTTATGGGCAACAGTGGTGATTTGATAGTGTGCCTACTAAACACACACAGGCTAATTTTTAAAGCAAATATAAGCACTCATGTTTTAATATGAGTGGGTATTTTTATTCAGTAGAGCATCTATGAAAAGCTTATTGGACTTCAGTGATAACGCACTAATGAAAACCAAGTTAACAAGTAAATTTTAGAGCTTTGTGTTTCAAGCTATATCATCCCCAAGAAAATCTAATTTAAAAACAGAATCATCCCCAGTAGTTTGGTTGCACAGGACACTCCCCTTCCATCAGCTAGCACATCTTGTTTTCCTTCCTACTTCTGCTTCAAAGATTAATTCCTTCCTTTGATTTCTTCCTTTTAACCTCTCCTTCTCTCCTTCCCAGTTTTCTCCATACAGCTTGAACTCATAGGCGTTTCCGGCAGCTGAGGCCCCTTAAGCACAGAACCGGTGGAAGATGAGTTTAAAGCCTGAAATTAGATTGAATTTAATGCGAGAGGGAACAGGGAACACAGTGATTGCTTTAAACTCATTTGAGTGCCACCTGCCTGCTGAAACAGCATTAGACTGAGGGCACAGCCTTCACGCCCGGGCACTGTGAACACAATCTCAACCACAGAATTCCTGGAATCCAAGGACACTGTTGTCTACATTTTCAGCCGTCCTCCTGGCCCCCTTGGTGGTCACAGCATCCATCTGCTTTTACATCCAAGTTATGTAACCTGATGGCATTGGCCTTACATAGCAGAACAGCCCCCACCATGCAGGGAATACCTCACCCATAGCATGTTCTGCTTCAGACCTCTCCCTGCACCGTGATGGTGTCACTGGGGGCGTGGGGAGTACTGCTGAGTGTCTCCTCTTTCAGAAGGAGATTCATTCACATATGCACCCTGACACAGTGTCACTATCTGAGGTGAATGAAGCCTGGCTCCCTGTGACTTCCTGGATGCTAGCTAAGAGGGACCTGGCAGCTCCGAGGCCAGATGCAGTCAAGAGTATCATTCCTAAAGTGTCCAAGATTTAATATATTAGTATATATTCTCTGTGTGTGTGTGTGTGTGTGTGTGTGTGTGTGTGGGAGAGAGAGAGAGAGAGAGAAAGAGAGGGAGGGAGGGAGGGAGGGAGAGAAAGAGAGAGAAATAAGGGGAAGTCTTTCTTCTTCCTTGAATCTGTTTTTGAGAAAATATTGGGTTGGCTTCTATTCAATGAAATTATAGGTTATAACCATTCTTTGAAGGTTTCTTCCACTCCATTTAATTATTATCTATTTTCTTACAGTGAACTACACATACTTGCTTGGAAGAGTAGGTGATATTGAGGCCAAAGAAAATTGCCCCAAAATTATGGGATCCATATACATTTTCTTTCCTTTTATATGAAACAAAACATTTAGCATCTTTTTATGTCTTTCTCACACCTGCAATCTTGCCCTCCTCCATCTATGCAATTAGGCTGCAGAATCTCCAGAAGTCATAGTTTTTGTTAGATCAGATGCTTCTGGTCTTTTTTCTGCATTTCTGGGCTGTTATTTCATAGGTGAATTCGGCAATCATCATTGCCCTTTTTTGGGGTCCATTTGGTGCCCACCATATTTGGGTGTTCTTATTCTTTCTGAAAGTATTAATTCTATTTCATTCAGCAATTATTTTTGCATTGACATGCCTGATGACCTTGTTGAGGAGCCCTCCCTCACGTATTTCACTCTCTGAGCTCCCAAATTGTATGGAGTTGATTTTCAAGCTTCCAGTTTGATGCAGGCAGAGGAAGGACACAGTCATTTGCTTTCACACAAGACTCAATCTGGGAAAGATGTCTGTTACTTGCCTCTGAACAAACCATGTGTCAGAACAGGAACCCAGCCCAGGCTCAAGCAGACACACTCACCCTTCCCCGAGCACAGTTCGCCGTCTGCTGATTCACACAGACTCTTGCTTTTTTCTTCTGTTAGGTTACACTTCCGTGGATGCTGGCAGAGCCTTCCAAACCAGCCTGTCTCACACACGCAGCGGCCACAGGAGCATGTGCCATGACCTGCAAGGCAAGCACTGGTGGCAGTTAGGAGGAGATGAGTAAATAACCAATGGAATCAGAGTTTTTAGCTAATATATAAACCATAGCACACTTTCCAAATAAGCACGGTCAATTGGACATGTCATGATTTAAAAGAGCTTCGCAACAGAGTTTTAGTGTAATGATAAACTTGGATGTAGCACAGAAGATGTACTTAAGAGAAAGAAATCTTGAAATAACTGGAAGTGGCATTATACCATTTTTTCTTGATACCACGTATACCCCCATTTACATTTTTATCACTATGGCATCTCACCATGCACATTCTCCACTGTGCACATTAGGACATCCAGGCCAATTTGCAAGGCTGATCACGTTACCATCACTTGCAGCATTTACTAATAGCCCTCCCACTGCTCAATACTGGAAACAAAAGGTTAACGTTCCTACAAATGGCATTTGGTATTATACTACTTTACCTCTGCCCTTCTTTACATACATAATAAGGGCAGATAAAAGGGTAGGTGATGGCCTCTCAATTATTGTACGAAAGTGAAGAACAGCACGAGGCACACATTGACATTTGGCTCTTTGTTTTTTCCTTTTCGTTTCTGACACTGGCTCCTGACTTTCAAGGTCTTTTGATCTTTGATCTTTTGCTGTACGTGTAACATGGCATTTGTGACAGTTACATGGGCACACATACCCATCCAGATGTTTGCCACCAATTCTCCATTACAACACATCATATTCCATCTTAATTTCTTGTTTCCACTCAGTGCTTTAATCATTTTCCTGTTATGTGCAATGGCTTCCAGCCAGCTGTCCCTGAATCAAATGTTTGCCTGGCCAAGATTTACTGAGTACATGTTATGAACAGAACATTTTGCTAGATACTAAAGGATATGAAGTCAAGCATGATGGAGACTGTGGTCCCTGCTCCTCTCCCAGGGATGCAATTCGCCTTTATTCAGACTGATCAGCCTCTCACCTGAGCACTGACTTTGCTAGGGCCTTCAAGAGTAAACCTTGCTCAACCTGCTCCCACCCCTACACACTCAGCTCTGAACAAGGAGGGATTAGTGGCCAGTTCTTAAATACTGGTAGTTCACTATTGGGATTAATTTAACACAACCACCTATGAATCCAGGAAACAGTTGTCTGTAATACAGGATCATCAAGAAGTTAGTGGAAAGCAAATGAGAGACAAGTACTAAAGTGAGGTAACATATGAGTCTTCAAAAGTTTTACAGAAAATGTGTATTATGAAAACACCCTACATGTATTTCAAAATCCTTCCACCAAAATGAGCTTCTTTTAACTACACTTTTCTGCAAGCTTTTTGAAGTACCTCTCATGTTAACAGACCTCTCTCTAACAACCTTTTCTTATCTACACGGTGATGCACTAAATTTAATCTTACCACAGTCCTTCTAGTCCAGCATTATCCCCATTGTACAGTCAGAAAACTGATCCTCAGGGGACGCATTTAGAGTGATGAAGTGATTTCACTTTGAGCCACATTGTTCAATCATATGGGATCAGAATTTGACACTAGTTTCTTTGATTTTAAACACCCACGCTTTCTCCATTGTCACATTACTTCTAGATTTCATTTCAGATAATGTGACTCCTAGCAGATTTTAATTCCTATCTCCTGTCACTTGAAAGTATACACTTGACATTCCCGGATGCTTTCCATCTACTTAGAAGTATCTCCTCTACTGGTTTTCATAATACCACACTTTTTTTTTTTGACAGGCAGAGTGGACAGTGAGAGAGAGAGAGACAGAGAGAAAGGTCTTCCTTTGCCGTTGGTTCACCCTCCAATGGCCGCCACGGCCGGTGCACCACGCTGATCCGAAGGCAGGAGCCAGGTGCTTCTCCTGGTCTCCCATGGGGTGCAGGGCCCAAGGACTTAGGCCATCCTCCACTGCCTTCCCGGGCCACAGCAGAGAGCTGGCTTGGAAGAGGGGCAACCAGGACAGAATCCGGTGCCCCAACCGGGACTAGAACCCAGTGTGCCGGCGCCACAAGGCGGAGGATTAGCCTATTGAGCCACGGCGCCAGCCGTAATACCACACTCTTCTTACTCTTTCAACACTCCTTCTTTGTTTCTATTCTTCTACCATTTTTTTCTGACCTGATAAATGTTGTTCTCATCCCACTGTTTGTATTTTCTTCTAATAAACTTTAAAACTTTTATTTATTTTTGTTTTTAAAGGAATTTATTAATGCATTAGATTCTTAGGGTCACAGCAAATGAAAGATTATTACTACAACACAATTCTCATGTTAATGTGATATTAATGTAAAGAGAATAGATTCCATATAGTTCAAAGATAAAATTCTAAGAATGTAATAATACCTTAAATAGCTCATCTTACCTTTCATTGAAAAATTCACCAACTTACTTTATTTCTAATAATCACAACTACTGTACGGCTATATCTCCAGTCCTTAAACACCTTTCAAGTTCCACTCCCATCATCCCATACTTTGTGTTCTGTTGGCATCCTCAATTAATACTTCCAAAGCTACATGTATGACTTTCTTATCAAAAGTTATTTTTCTTTCAATGGCAAGTTTCTCCTCCAAATGGAGCAGCTTAAAATATTTGAACCACATTTGATTCTCCTTTATTCCTCTAATTCAAAGAGTACTTAAATCTCATTGGAAGTACATCTCACATTTCAACTTAAATTAGCACACAGACCTTTGATATCCATAGAAATAGAAAAGTTAATCCTAAAATTCATATGAAAAAACAAGACACCTTGAACAGCCAAAGCAATCTTGGGGGAAAAAAGGGCAAAGCAGGAGGCATAACAATTCTTGACTTCAAGACATACTGTAGAGATACGGTAGCCAAAATAGAATGATGCTGGCACTGGTCTGCAGCTCACTAGGCTAATCCTCCGACTGCGGCGCCGGCACTCCAGGTTCTAGTCCCGGTCAGGGCACCGGATTCTGTCCCGGTAGCTCCTCTTCCTGTCCAGCTCTCTGTTGTGGCCCAGGAGTGCAGTGGAGGATGGCCCAAGTGCTTGGGCCCTGCACCTGCATGGGAGACCAGGAGAAGTACCTGGCTCCTGACTTCGGATCAGTGCGGTGCACCAGCTGCAGTGCACCAGCCGCAGGGGCCATTGGGGGGTGAACCAACAAAAAAGGAAGACCTTTCTTTCTGTCTCTCTCTCTCACTGTCCACTCTGCCTGAAAAAAAAAAAAAAAAAAAAAAAGAATGATACGGGCATAAAAACACACAGAATGGAACAGATTCCAGAAATGAACACACACATCTACAACCAAAGTACTCACATCACATCCTTGATCTCTCTAGTCCTACATGATTTCCTAATGCTATGGCATGAAGTTCACCTACTTTTGTCTTTGTTTTGCTTTAGGCTCTAGACAAAGTATCTTAATATCTTAATCTTAATCCTTCCCTTTCTGCTTCAAGCAAACTGGCCTATTCATTGTCCTGGGTACATTTTTCACACTTCGCTGACCTAGTGTTCTTGCCAGTGCAGGAATGCTTTCCTTTCTCTCCATTTCCAAATCTCAGGAAAAGCTACTACACCCCCCTGAAGACTTTCATAACACCCACAAGTGAAACTTACACCCCTTTTCTGAAGTTCCATACTACTTTATTTTTACTTCCTGTGGAATGTTTTTTCCTTCTATCTTGTGATATATAGTTGTAAAATGAATTCATTATGTGACTGTGAATTCTGTGAGACTAGGAGTTCCTTTTGAGGCAGCACTCTGGTCTTCAGAGTGCCAAGCATACTGCTTTAGACATCATGGATCGCAACAACAGTTGCAGTGGGCTGTGACTGCCTTTATCAAAATACCCTTCTCATTCCCCTCCCACCCCCAGATTCAAACTAGAACTCTAAGTCAATTCCAGGTCATGTTCACAGGTCATCTGGTTGATTCACTATTGTTCAAGGTCAACGGACAGGGGCCAGCGCTGTGGTGCAGCAGGTTAACGCCCTGGCCTGAAGCACCGGCATCCCATATGGGCACCGGTTCTAGACCTGGCTGCTCCTCTTCCGAGCCAGCTCTCTGCTATGGCCTGGGAAAGCAGTACAAAATGGCCCAAGTCCTTGGGACTCTGCACCCATGTGGGAGACCTGGAAGAAGCTCCTGGCTCCTGGCTTCGGATCAGCACAGCTCCGGCCATTGCAGCCATCTGGAGAGTGAACTATCGGATGGAAGACCTCTCTCTCTGCCTCTCCTCCCTCTGTGTAACTCTTGACTTTCAAATAAATAAATAAATCTTTAAAAAATAAAAAAAAACCAAGGGCAATGGACAGTCCTTAAGTAGCTGTTTTATTCTACCTCCTTTAGGGCAGTCTTAACTGAGGGCATTGGTATCCCCTAAGAGCTATCTACTCAATGAATAGTTATTAAATTGATTACATCTTGAGTTCTCCATTAAACCTCAGTCAACTTAAAGTGTAATTCTCCATAAGGAGTTAACGTTGGCCATTTTTAACAAAGAATCTGGGATACAGGAAACAGAAAGAAAGAAAACACAATCTCTTCCTACTATCAGTCTCATGAAGTTAGAACATTTTCAAATGCTTATGTTTCTAAATGGCCTTGGGTTGGTAAGAACTGTTATCAATCTGATATAATCAGAATAATTTAATCTCTATCATTGAGGAAGACATTCTGCCTTCAGGTTGGGATAGCAATGATTTTAGGAGATCGTTGAATAAGTCAATGACTCCTCACAAAAAGTAATTCAATATACAATTTTTACTCAAGGAAATGGGGTACTTTGATTTATTGGATCACTTATCATGGCCTTTTGCAAAGTTAAGTTGGCATCTAACCCAGGCTATCTTCAAAATGCATTGGTGTTTAAATGTTTTAGTTTGGGGCCAGCACTGTGGTGTAGCAAGTAAAGTCGCCGCCTGCAGTGCAAGCATCCCATTTGGGTGCTGGTTCGAGTCCCGGCTGCTTCATTTCCAATCCAGATCTCTGCTATGGCCTGGAAAAGCAGAGGAAGATGG